GATAGATAGATAGATAGATAGATAGATAGATAGATAGATAGATAGATAGATAGATAGATAGATAGATATAATATCAATTTACATAATGAAGATCAGTGTGGGTTTTTACCCAAAAGACAGTTAAGAGATAATATTAGAAATGTATTGGACATTTTAGAATACTTAAAACAGCATAATGAAAAACAGACTGTTTTGATCTTGCTAGATACAGAAAAGGCCTTTGACAATTTGAACTTGATTTTCTTGTTTAAAATTTTGAAAGATACGGACTTTGGAGAGAATTTTATTAAATGGGTAAAATCAATTTATACTTCGCAAAAGGCACAGATAATTGTAAATGGAAAATTAACAAAACCTTGTGAGATACAGAAAGAGAGAAGACAAGGATGTCCATTGCCACCATTATTGTTCATCTTAGCTTTGGAAGTATTAAATAGAGACTTAAGACAAAATGAAAAAATTGCTGGAGTGAGGATTAAAAGGGAAATATATAAATTATGGATCTTTACTGATGATTTGGTGATAATTTTGGAAAATCCTTTGGAAGGTGTAGAAATATAAATGGAAAAATTAAAGGATTTTGGTGCATTACTTGGATTTAAAATTAATAATGAGGCAATGAAGATGTTAAGAAAAATATGAGGATGGAAGAGCAAAAAGAATTGATGGAAAAACTGCTTTAAGATTGAGAAAAAAGTGAAATATTTGGGTATTACTATGACTAATATGAATTGTATGTTATTTCAGAATAATTATGTTAAGATATGGAATTAAATTGAGGAAGATATGCTGAGATGGGAGAAATTACAACTGCCATTGTTGGGGAGAATTTCTGTGATAAAAATGAATGTATTGCCTAGAATGATAGTTAGGTAAGGTAGAATAGGTTTCAGACAATACCTGTTCTGACAACTGCTGTACTATTTAAGCAATGGCAGATATATAGGTTTGTATGGCAAGGGAAAAAGCCAAGGGTTGAATATAAACTTCTCCAAGATGCACAGGAACGAGGATTGGGACTGCCTGAATTGAAATTATGTTTTGCAGCCCGCTGTTTGGTTTGGATGAAGGAGTGGGTGGGAGATGCTGAGTAATAGAATCTTACAACTAGAAGGGCGTGACCTGAGGTTGGGATGGCTTTCTATGGTACAATAAAGTTAAGGTTAATGTAGTTTTCAAAAATCACCATATTAGAAGTGCCATATTGAGAATATAGAATAGATGTAAACCCCCCTAGATTGTGCGTGAAAATGCCTTTATGGGTCTCAGCACAAGACACATTTTATAGAAAAGAAATAGCAGGTAAAGAGAAATGGCTAACATATAGACAGCTGTTACAACAAGAGCATGAAGAATATAAGATGAAATCTAGAGATCAGTTGACTGCAGAGGGATTTAGTTTTCAATGGTTTTCATATGCACCGCTAAGAGAAAGATTTAAGGTAAATAACAAGACATTTGGAATTGAATAGCACAAGACAGAATTTGAAAATGAGCTATGTACAAATGATGAACATGTACAGTAATTGCTAAAATGTATAAACTTTTGTTGAAATATGAAATGGAAGAAGAACAAGTTAAAGATTGTATGATACAGAATTTTGGATATATTAATGGAACACTGGGAGAATATGTGGTTAAAAGGACTGAAATTTACATTATGTTGTAACTTAAAAGAGAATTTTTATACAATGATATACTATTGGTACATGACTCCAGAAAAGTTATGTATAAAGGTACTTCAAATCTATGTTGGAAACGTGGACAACATGAAAGGTCATTTTATCATGCCTGGTGGACTTGTAAAAAAGCCAGGAAATTTTGGGTTCAAATACACATCATGATACAAAGAATTTTAAAGATCAACGTTCAACTGGAAACAGAATTTTTCTTTCTGGGACTAATGGATAGGCAGTTAGAAAAGTGTTATGGAACATTGTTTTTGTATATGATAACTGCTGTGAGATTATTATATGTACAAAAATGGAAAGACTCTGGAATTCCTACAATAGAAGAATGGCTGGTAAAGATGACAGAATTAGCAGAGATGGCAAAATTGACTTGTCTGATTAGAGAAAGGACAATAACTACATTTATTAGTGACTGGAAACTCCTTATGGACTTTTTGCTGAAAAAAGAAGAAAATGAACTTGTGATATATGGGTTTGATGATTAGAAAGGTTAGACTATGGAAAGAAGGAAATTATGATGTAATTTTAGAGAGAGAGGGCAAAATATAAATGCATTTATAACCACTGCTAAGAAGATCAGAAGCCACATCTTTACAATCTTTTCTTTTCTTTCTTTTTCCTACTTTCTTTCTTACCTATTCACTATTTTTCTCTATTTTATTTATTTCTTTTATAAAATATGTATTGTTTTTATCTTGTTAAAAATCTCTTTAATAAAAATTATTAAAGAGATTTACATAATCACCCATCTCACAATTGTAATTCTTATATAAGCAAGAGTTTATACATAGAAAGCAAAAGTGTATTGGAGATACAGCCAAAAAAAAACATGTATCCTTGATATCCAGCTATTGATCTAAAATCATGTAAACAATCCTGTGGATTTCAGTCCAAACTATGGCAATTATAGGACAAGATGAAACTATGATGTGAGATAATATTCCAGTTCCTAAATTCATCTCTGATAACAAGGCAATTGCAATGAATATTAAACATTTTCTGAGGTTAACAATATATATCAAATAAAGTTTTATGTTGCATTAATCGCATTTTAAGATGAAAAGAAACTACTTTCCTATATTTAAAAGCAACCCTCTGCTGATTTAGAAAAACAGGGCATTCAGGTTCATTATTCCAAGGGCCACTTAAATAATTAATAACAATTTCCTCTAAATCCCTCAATTTCCTAAAAATAAGGGAGCTTCTGGCTTAAGAGCCAGAGCTGATTCTTCCAAAACTGCTAGTAAGTATGGACTTTTAGAAGTAGCAATAACATCAGGATCAAAAATTTGAAATGTTAAATGCTTCAGTTGAATAAACTGTCAAGAATCAATAACAAGTCAATAAACTCCAGTTTAAGTTCTATATTACTTTCAAAAGTTGCTTCATTAGAACTGAGTTGGTCTGTGGAAATAATATGTAATCAATAAATAAATGGTTGCCAATGTAGTCTACATGCCAGGCTGCAGACTATAGATTCATCATCTACATCTGCATGAGTGAGAAATGGCTCTTTTGTCACAATCAGCTATCTGTTTACTGGATCCAGGCTTCTCCTGGGTCATAAAAGCAGCCAGGAACTGGTTATCTTCCATAGTATCTGCCCAGTCAATTCGATCCATCAGGAGTTGCATGCTTGGGGTTCCTTTGATTAAACAATACCATCTATCAGGACACCAGAAGCACACCTTCTGTGTTGTAGTGCCTACCCTCTGGAATAAGATGACGCCCTCCCTACTGGTGTCTCAGTGGGCCTTGAAGTCCTGATTCTTTGTCCAGGACTTTGGCTGGGATGGGTGTAGCTCCTTCTGAGAAGTGGGCATATTTTGTTGCTGCCTGGTTTTTTCCCCCCATCTTTTTTTCCTTGTTTTTACTATCGTATTGTATTATAGGTTTTTTCCCCTTGTGTTTTACTTGTGAACCACCCAGAGTCATTGGGAGTTGGCAGTGTACAAAATGAGTAAATAAATAGTAAAAATGATAATAGATCTGTAAGCACTAAATCTTTTTTGGCTTTTAAGTCACAGAAAATAGGTGCGGCCAAAAGCAAATTAAGTACAATTAATATAATCACTCCCCTTATATTTTATCATTTTACCCTCTTATTCTATTAAAAATTATAACTTGGCTGTAACTTTTGATGGTAATCAAGGAGTCACCTACAAAACTCTGTGGGCTCCTGCTTTAAATGTTCATTTCTTATTAAAGAACATGAATATTTAATACATCATTTATACTAATCTATACTTACAAAGATCAGAATCGTGCAAGCCATGGACTTCCAGGGGAGGTATGACAAACTGAAGACATCTCTGCGAAAGCAGAGCCAATGACCGCGACAAAGACCAAAGAACCAGTGAATAGACTGATTTCTCAGAACCTCTCAAGACAAAGAGAGCATATGGGAGGTTGCCCACATGTGCTACAAATGGCTGATCTTCACAAGGAGATTGCAGGACAGCAGTTTTCTGCAGGTTTGACCACCAGGAGATGAAGGGATCACCATCTTTCTTGCAACTGCAGTACAGCCTTTTAAAGAACACTAAGTTTGCTAACCTCACATCCTAATCACTTTCAGAAATTGCCTATTAATCATCTTAAAGCTATTAGAGACCTTCAGAACGACACTTGGAAAAGTCACTGGGTGACCTTATCTTCAACATTGAACAAAAGAAAAATTAGCTATAAGCTTAAGAACTTAAAGAATTTGAAATGAACAGCAAAAAGCTAAATAAGAGTTTGATCTAAGAAAGTTATAGATGGATTAAGGGTCCAGATACATATGGAATACTGACTTTTAGTATAAGATTTTTGAATTAACTATAAAAAAGTAAACAGTTTCTCATGGGGAACACACTTATTTTGGCTATTCTGGCTATTGTAAGTCATAACAAAGATAAGTCATTTTTTGATTTTAGTAAGTGGACACGAGAGGGAACTAAAGATTCCAAGCAGAAGGAAAAAAAAAAAAGTCTGCTCTTGATGTTGGTTAATACTGGGACTTACAAAATGACACAAACTGTTACAACATTGGAAGCATCAAAGGAAATCTTTGGAGAATGGAGCCAGAAATTAGTAACTACAATATCAACAGTGTCAGTAATGATGTCTGCTTCTATGCATAGATTATGTCCAAAAGATGTTAATGAAGGAATGACAGATGTGGAACAAATTTCATCTAACAAGACAGAGAAAGTACTGAAAGTTCAAAAGAAACTGGCTGAAGTTTTAAAAATTAAAAGGGAACTATAAATGATAAACCAAGAGAATGATCTGGAAAATGTTTTCTTCTTGAATCTACAAAAGAGGCTTGTTAAAGCCTTGAAGAAATCTGTGTGACGGGTTAAAGAAGAATAGAAGAGAAATAAAATCCTATGACAATATTTGCTTGAATTAAATATTAAGACTGTTAGCAGTAAAAGGAAGGAATATAAAGTTGGTTTATTTCATCAAGGTTAAAATAATACTTCCCCCCCCCCCCAAAGTTCTGCAACCCTTTATGGATTTTTTTGCTGACACCAGGATTGAAAAGTTGATGTATTATGGATTTGCTTATAGATAAGGGATGGGATATGGGATGAAGAGATATCTGTTTGTGATTTTTTAGGGGGTGAAGAGTTATTAAATTTGACTATAGTTGTGAGGAAGGTTGAAAGTCACTTCTTTATATATTTCTTTTTTTCCCCTTTATTATATTTTTCCTTTCCTTTCCTTTCCTTTTTTCTTTTCTTCTTTTCTTCTTTTTCTTTTTTCCTGCACTTTTTATTCTTTATTTCTCTTCTCTTTCTCTAAGGTTCGTGTGTATTAGTTTTTACTACTGTAATCAACATTCTTAATAAAATTATATTCAAAAAATGAATCATGCAAGCCATGGTATTCCCCATGACACTCTGGAAATAAAAGTTGGATTTTGAAGAAGCAGGATGGGAGAGTATTTACACCTTTGAATTTTGGTGTTGAAGAATACTCCTGAGAATACCATGGACAGCCAAGAAAACTAACAAATGGATCATCAAACAAATCAACCAGAGTTCTCACTGAAGGCACAAATGACCAGGCTCAAATTATCCTACTTCAGACACCTTATGTGATGACCTAGCTATCTGGAGAAGGCTCTAATACTGGGAAAGGTAGAAGGAAAGAGAAGAGGATGATCAGCAGCAATGTGGATGGACTCAGTTATTGTGGCGATGAGTACACCATTGGAAGACCTGAAAGACCAGGTTAGGGATAGATCATGATGGAGAATATCTATGTGGTTGCTCGGAGTCAAAAACGATTTGATGGCACTAATCAATCAATCAATTATACTAAATTCATGCTCCTTCATAATACATTCTTACCATTTTCTAGCCTGTAGCCTGGAACATACAGAGCTTGATTCTGTCGGCGGGTTTGTCGACTGGTCCTATCTCTCCCTTGGACATGCACCTTTATGCTGTATCTACCATTGACTTTGAATGACGTGAAGTATCTTGAGTAGATTCCATCATTCTTGATAATATCTGCACCTTGACACAAAAATATTAAAAATTAACTTCTAGGAGAATGCAGAAAAAACACCAAAAATGAGTTGTATCTATCCCTGTTTTTATAGAAGTAAATGTTTAATTCAGTTATTTACATTCAGAACCAAAGAATGGCTGTTATAGGTTTGGAGTTGCTCAAAATGACTCCACAGGATCCTTTCCAACGCTATAATTCTTGGGCCTTAGATTCTAAGCACCAATGCTATTGGTACAGATCTCTTAAGGCAGTATGGATCATGGTTTATGGGTACCTAAATTTTTGGGATGGTGGGCTAATTTTTAATACTGTTGTGAGACACCCAGATTTGTTTAAGATGGGTGGCCATATAAATCTTTTAAATAAATATAAATAAATACTCAGAATACCTTGTAAGTATGGCTGTTTGGTGTGAGAATTCAGCCAGTGATAAAATGATTAATAGTTTATCAGAATGTAATCTCCCTGAGAGAGAGATACCATAAAGATGTGCATGATTTTTTGCATGTAACATGTCTATGTAAACACTCATCATGAGAGATATATCCCAAACTTCAAACTAGCAGGCATGTGTAATTATTTTTTTTAAGTATAGACACTCAAGATAAGTTTTCCAGGAGACTGGCTCTGAAAAGCATTGCTATGCCAATTAAACTGTGGGAATTGTAAGGTAAGAATCAAAAGTTATCTTGGGTTTCACTAGAGTAAATTTTTGTACTTTGGTTTGCCCAAATCTCTGTGCTTTTCTATTGAAATCGATAAATAAGGAAAGAGTTCCCAAGCTTTGCAATACCACAACCACTAAAATACTAAATTAATGCAACCCCCACCCTCTGCCCTGAATAATACTACTTATTTTTCTGGGCTTAGAGTTGGGTGAGAAATACTTCTAATAATTACATGTTAATATTTGTTGTGAATGTGTATTGTTATAGGTTTTAATTGTATATTTATTCATTGTTTTAACGTGTTGTGAGCCGCCCAGAGTCCCCCATTGGGGGGAGATGGGCAGGGGACAAATTTAATAAATAAACAAATAAATAAATAAATATTTATATCAGACAAAATAATGATAGAATCTCACAATGTTATAAATAAAATTGTTTCATTGGAAATAAGCAAAAAAATTCAAGGTTTATAGTAATATTTTTAATGGGAAGGATGTTTGTTTACTTTTGCATAATTCATAACATCTAGACTTCATTTTGAAAATAGCTAGTCATTCACCAATCAAGAAAAAAGGAAGAACAGAGTGTTTCCTTGTGTTAAATCAGCTTCTTTTAAATTTCTTTTAAAATATTGACAGGTTGCAAAACACTGTCAGAGTGTAAGCTTCTTTTGACACACACTGAAATAAGTCCCAGTCCATTTTCTTTATCCATTCCAGCTTGGTGCTTGGAAATCCCTCCCCCTATTCTTGCCATTCCTCCTCACTGTAGCCCCACAGTCCCTCCCTCTGTAGAATAAAGATCAGATCAGATCTTTAGAGCTTTGTATGGAAGCTTCATGCTCTCCAAGTATGATTATTCCTCCCTTGAAAGGCAACAGAATGCCTTTTTGTCTTAAAGAAGACAAAAAGAATGCTTAGGCTTCCTACAGTGCTCTGGAACCATCTGGGTGCTTTGCATTCAGCATACTTTTGTACTGAATAGGTTCACCTGTTCAGAAAGGACATGTGAAGGAGCCACTCCCTGGCAACCTTCCATCCATTGTCTTGCAACACCCCTGGTGAAAGGTTAGAGATCTCAACTCTCCTCTCCCAGAATCCCTATCCTTGGTATGGCTTGGTAGTTCTCACTGCTAACACCTATTTTCTAGAGATTGCCCAGCATGTGTGAGAGAAAGGATCCCCACACCATATGATACTTTCTAGCAATTCAAAAGCCACTTCCAGCCCTTTCTTCCCCTTGGAGATAGACCAATCTGCATAAACTTTACTTTTAAAAAGGAAAAGAGAGAATGTTAAAAAAAAAAAACCTTTTTAGCTTTAAATAAGAACATGTGAAGGAGAAGGAGATAAAAATACAGAGTTCTTTAAATGATAGACTGTGACTTCAAAGGATCTTGCATAGAACAACTGTACAGGGAAATATGAGATTCTGCACAGACCCAAGTTGATATTGGTTTGCCCCTAACCTAAAGGAATAATAAAGTAGAGGGGTTCCCTGCTTCATAAAACAAACTATTTACTGAACATGTACTAACACAAATACTAGAGATAAAGAGCAACAGAAATAGATAATATCGAACTCTAATACAATGGTTAACCTTCTGTATTCCTCTAGAGGACAGTCTAGCCTTGAATCAGATTCCCTCTTTGATCCAATGGTTATCTGTAAGTTCCTTTTCTCTGAAAATTCCACTTTAATTGGAGGAGAATATTTGCTCTCTTTTTCCCCACATCGCTTTCTTCCTCCATTTCTCCCAGAGTTCTGCCTAGAGTCCCCTCAAAAAATAAAGCATCTTTTTTTCTAGGAGGTTAAGAGTTGGGAGATTTGACTTTGTCTGTGACAACGTCCATATCACTTCAAAGTCGATGATGACTGAACTTAGATGTTATCTGTCTTTCACTTCAACGATTTGCTAAGATATCAGATATTCTCTGCTTAGTTGTATTGGGTTGACTTTACTTGTTAACATAATTTTGGGTTTGTTTTTTTTAAAATATTGAGCATCAGACTGTCTTTTGCACTCTCTTTTTTCATGTTCAACAAGAGATTCCTTGCTTCCAGCCATAAAAGTGGTATCATTAGCATATCTGAGGTTGTTATTTCTCCCATTAATTTTAGTTCCAATTTCTATTTCTGCTGGTTCAACATTTCTCATGATAAATCCTGCATCTAAGTTTAAGTAAATAAAGGGACACTATACAATCTTAGTATAATTGAATTAAATTAATATTCCAAAAATGTTGTCTGACACTGAGCAACTGGCTACTTATATCTTGGGGAGCAAATTTTGCTACATCAAGCTAAGGAGGGGTATGATAAAGCAACAGAAAGAGAGCAGAGCAGAAGCACAGTGACCACAAGTAAGCCCTCCATAGCTGATCCAATATTTTCCTTTCCAGTCATGTGGCTGCAATAGTGCAAGGAGCTCCGTACAGACAATAATGCAGTGGCCAAACGTGTTTTTGGTACAGAAAGCTGCCACCATTATTGCCATTTAACAATAATAACAACAAAAAATGATGACCATAGAGATCAGTATAGAGAATATTATGTCAATTATCTAAGTCATATGAGTAAATTCATAACTCTGGAATACTGAAAAATATGTAATACAAACTTTCTTCAAAGTACACTTACCAGAACCCTTGTCCAAAAGCTCTAGTTCTTCAATTCCAGAAGTTGATTCAATGGTGGCTATAACATTTGCACCAAGTACTGGCAAAAATCCTTGACTGACTTCTGCATAAATAATAATTGGATTGGGAAAAGCATTTGCATCACTACTTAAGTAGGACTTCACAATTACTGGAGGTTCCGTTAGAGAGGCCGCTCGACTGGTTACTGTGATTGATAGCACCTGAGCCTTTGACAATGTATTATAAAGTATGTAAGACCAATCTCCCACCTGCAGATCAAAATTTGGAAGTAAAGCATTATTAAATATTCACTTTGCATGGTCTGATAGGTATAAATGTAGTTTTGATTTCTCTGCATCTGTGTTTTATAAGGACAAATAGGCATTTGTATGTATAGGAAATTTAAAGAACTGGACAGCAGAAGCCCATTCATGCTCACTTGTGAACCGGCTGGTTAAACATCCTGTGCCCTGGAAATATCACTCTCTGGCATTTTTGCACACAATTGTACATGTGTTGGCTTTCATATGAGCCAGGGTTTTCATATGAGCCATAATTTCATAATTGTGGCGCACATGGAAGGAAGCTGAATGTGTGAAAGATTTAATGATTGTGCAACTGCTTGCAATTAGCAATATAATTAATACCAATTGACAGTATCATTTGAGCAATGTCTAGGCTTTTGCCAGAACACCATGGTTACAGAAATGCCAGCATGGGACTACAATGAGAGTGCACAATTTTTTAAATTTTATGATAATGTGAGTCCTTTTAAGGAAGTCTTCACCAACCTAGTGTCTTCCATGTACTGCAAGTGCAGTATCTAGGATTCCAAATCAACATGGCTAAATAGTATTCCAGTTTTCTTCTACAATGGAGGTAATGGGCTTCCTAAGTTGTTAGTAGACTGGCACATTGGGAAGACAAATGACACCTCTGCCAACTGTCCAAATAGAATGAATGGGCAAATTAGTGGCACTAGCTAGCTGTTAAGGCAGAGAGAAATTTGGAACACTAGGCCACTCCTTCGACTCCTTTTAGAGACGTGGCTATTTCTGTGTCTCATCTACTATCTTATAAGAGCATCAAGCAGATAAAGTAATTGGGACCTCTCTATTGCCTCTATTGAAACCAGCCTTTCTTATAGGCTTCCCCTCTCCCTGACCTATTTTCCTCATTCTGATTGGCCATTTAAGAATGTTTGTAAATTGAAGAATTGTTTCCCCAGTGTGTTTATTTTGTCCTTTAGGAAGCCCATTTCTTCTACATCAGTGCCTTTTGAGTTTGCAAATCTAAGAGAAGACTTTTTTTTAGATTTTTTTTTTATCCCGCCTTTATTATTTTTATAAGTAAGTCAAGGCGGCGAACATACCTAATACTCCTTCCTCCTCCTATTTTCCTCACAACAACAACCCTGTGTGATGAGTTGGGCTGAGAGACAGTGACTAGCCTAAAGTCACCCAGCCAGCTTTCATGCCTAAGGCGGGACTAGAATTCACAGTCTCCTGGTTTCTAGCCTGGAGCCTTAACCACTAGACCAAACTGGCTCTATTTTCTGGTTTTCAAATGATTGACTGATTTCCAAATGATGTACAGGTTATATATGCTTTAAATAACAAACTGATAATATATGTACAATAAGAGAGAAAGTAGAGTGAATTAAGGAGGAAGCAGCAGAAAAATAAGTGTGTAGGAGTGTAAGTGAAGTGGTGAGCATGTGAGTAAGCTGGGGACAGAGTATGTTTTGAATAAAAGGATACCCACTACTTACTTTCAGCCATCACTGAGCCATTATGGAGGCAATATAAAACATATCCTCATTACTGTTATTTGGCACAAGAATGGTAGGATGACTGTAGAAGATATTATAGATTACAAGTGGGAAACCCACCTATAGGATGTTCCACTTTTGATTTTGACAAATAAATGGCTTTGATGCAATAAGGTCTCCCAAAGTACTAGCCCTATTTCCACTGAAGAAAGTGGACTTTAAAACTAAAGCACATTTCTCCCTATTGTCTTCATTTGTTGTGAAGCTCAAGTGCTTTCAGCATGGTGTTGTCTATATGCTTGGAAATCTAGAGCTTATGAAATACACTTTCAGCGAACAGTGGTGGAGCAAATCCTATGAAATTTTCCATTCCAGCAAACTCTGTGAATGGGGCATGCCAGCATTTTGTGGCTTATTTTGCAGGAGCAAACATTACAGTGTCATGTTACTAAACTAGGTTGAATAAAATGATAATTAGGAGCTGGACATGGGGTGTGGCAGGAAGTCAGCCAATGGGAAAACAAATAGCTACAAGTATAGTATGGATTTGGTAAATTGCAGTTTGATCCATTTTGAAGTGAGGCAGAAACAGTGCAAATGGAATTTCCAGGAATGATAAGGAATCTGAGCTCTTGAAAAATTGCCTCATATCAGCATTTGTTGAAAGACAGCATTGCAAGTACAGAATGCCTAAGAATCTAGAACAATATCACCTTCTGGAAATGGCTCAAACTCAGAGTTAAGCTGGACAAATTTAAATTTTGTGGCTGTTCTAAATTTGCATGATCTTGCAGATATCCACATCTAAAACGATAGGGAAAATACCAGGACCCATAGGTCACCAATATGGATGTAATAATTTCATTTCATTTTTAATTTAATAATAATTTCAATTTTAATGTTCGGAGGTTTTTTTTCCTTTTGGGACTCTTTTTTTTTTTTTATTAAAGTGCCTCAGATCTTCAAAGTAATGCATTGGAACCTACAAGCATTTTAGAATAGTAAAAATGGCAACCACATTTATTTGGTGCTACTCTGTTGAGTGCCAAACTAAACACCTCATTCCTATATGGTCTGCAGAGAGTGACAGAGAAGGAGGTAGATGATTAGAAGAGATACAGTGAATAAAACAGCCTGCACAATCACCTCTGTTTCTGAAAAGGAGAGCTATCAGAATGGAATACAAAAGGCCACAGAACACCATCAAATTTGATGGCAGACTCAATCTGTTGTACTAATTTAGTTTTAGGTATTCCAAACTTTATTAGTACAATTACACCTCTAAAATAGACCTGTCTCTCTATGTACTAAAAAGAATGTTAAATTTATAACTTTAATGATAATGCAATTTCCTTGGTTGAAAGAAAGCTGAAATATTTTACCTCCGCAGTCCCATTAATCTGAAGTCGAGCTGTTTTGAGATTGGTGCTATCAACTGTAAAATTGTCATGATCATATGTTTTCCCTTTTGGATCCGTCAGAAGAATTCCAGGTTTAGGATAGGTTTCAGTCCATGTAACTACAAAAAAAGTGTCATTTCCTACAGTGTAATCGATGAATACAATACCATTAAGAAATTTGTAGGGATCGACTTTGTGACTTTTACTTTCAAGCTATAAGTGAAAAAAAAAGGAATTATGATATAGCAAGAAAATATTATGACTGCAATATTACTTTGGGAGTAAATCATTTAAGATAAACTTCATAGCTAAGAACATGGGGTACAAAGCTACATAATTATGAAGAATAAATGCTGGTATTGTTGTCATGTATTTCTAGTACAACAACAACCACTTGACATGGCACCACCTCACCCAGATAATACAACAAATCTTTTTAATCTCTACTCTATCTATCTATCTATCTATCTATCTATCTATCTATCTATCTATCTATCATCATCTCTCTCTCTCTCTCTTTCTCTCTCTATCTCTGTGTACTGTTCTTTTACCATTTTGTAATTTTTATAGGTTATTAAATATTTTAAATAAAACAACACTTTGGTCTAGTAATAATAGACATACACAGGCACACACATATCTGCATTCACGCACATCTACTTAGCAGCATGCTACAGCTAAGCATACATAGACCTATATGTTTAATAAGATGATCAAGAATAATTAAAAGTACAGTGCAAAATTAGTAATTATGCAAGCAATGATAATCAAACAATAATAGTGACAACAGTGACAATAAGGTAGTCAGTGAGGTATGAGAGTGTTAAAAAAAATCTCTAAATAAATGTTGTAAGACACAGGGAAATATAAGAAAATGTATTAACATTTCCAAGAAAATATCAAAATATCTTTGGTATTGCTAGTCCAAAAATTGACAAAATCACTCCAAGGCATCCAAGCAAGCCCAAAGACCCAGTAGCCAAAAAAGAAAAACAGGAGTTATTTACAACATACAGTATAAACACTATGAAAACCACTATGTAGAACAAACAGGCAGAAGATTGGCAGAATGCATCCATGAATGTCAATTGGCAGTCAGAAGACATGACGGAAGTTCTTTAATTTTACAGGACACAGAGAAGTTCAACTGCAAATTTAACTGGGAAACTCTAAACATTTTAGATCAAGCCAAGTCTAAGAATGCAAGAGAATTCCTAGAAGCTTGTTGTTTGACAAATTAGCCATTAACAGATCTATAGAAATAGCTCCCATTTACAAACTATTCAAAGGAAAGGGCCAAATAGATCTGAAAAGAGTATAACCAAGTTATTGAGAGTCAGGTGACATATACGTTTTAAAATAAATAAATAAATAGCTCCCAAATACCTGAATCGACTGTTGAGCAATATTTCCACTTTCTGATGAAATTCCGCTGAAAGCATCGATGAGACCATTGGTATCCAAACTATCAGTGGCAGCAAGTTTTAATCCTCCTAATTCAGATTGAGATAATTGAAATAATCTGTGAGTTTCAATAAAATATTTGCATTGTGCCTAACAGTAGTTTCAATATTTACATTAGGGATCAGCAGTGCCACACCTCCAACAGCCCAGATGGCATTTGCAGACTTTTCAATTAAATAAAAATTAAGATTGATTGTAGAATAATATTAATGAGATTGTGCAACGTTTGGTGATCTCAGGAAATTTGGGATGATTTTTTGCATTGATAATTGGGAGGCAGAGCTTAAGTTTGATGAGCCCTGCAGTATATAAATAAGTTAGTTATTTAAACTTGAGAGGACGATGTTTAGCAAGACCTAGTCCCCTGTTCCTTTCCTCATTGCTCTCTTCATAATCAAGTGGGAGGCCTGTTACGTTGTACATGTAGTCAGGACAACATATTTTAGAAATTATCTAAAACACAAGGGAGAGCAATGAGAAGGGGACAAGGAAGCAGAACTAGTACAGTATGGGCATTCACACTCTGTTCTTTGGGTATTATTGTAATATCATTTTAGAATACCTGAAGTGGGAATACATGATATATGAGTGACTGTGAGAAATAAGCTCACATTTTCTAAATCACCAGCTCTTATTGCATAACACTGGAAACCCTTCAAAGTGTATAGCTTATTTACCTGTCATGTCTGCCAGCATTTCTAGCTCTTTTGCGGCACTTGGCCCCAAAGCAATGGTGTGAATTATTGACCCGCTACTTTTAACTTCATCAAAGCAAGAGCGCATAGTTGTGTCTTCTCCATCTGTCAAGAGCACAATTTCACACCCTTCAGTACTTCCATATTTTAATCTAAACACCTGCATTAAAAATAAAATAAAATAAAATAAAATATTAGCAGAACAGGGAATACTGTATAGTATAAAACTCATGGGATGCTCTTTAAAATGAAGAAGTTGGATGACATTCTTACAATAATTATGTTATATAAATAAATAATTTGTAACAAAAATTGCAGCATGATTCTCCAACTGCCATAAAGTAGTGCTGCATTCCTTGGGAATCATTACCTGTGAAATAAAAGCCAGACTAGGTACTTCCTGTGCTCTTATAAAGTCAGAAAGAAAAAGAGGGAGGGAGAGAGAGAAGAAAAGAGAAAGAGAAATTATAAACCTCAATGGAATGATATGCTATGACCCCTTCCCATCATTGTTCTTCCTCTACCTGTTCAATTGGCCTTAGGACCAAGAGAACATACAACATCCATTGTATTGCTTTGGTTATTCTAAAACTCTGTTCAGATGTAAAACTTTTTCTTTTTTCTTTCTAAAGAAATCTGCTGCATCCTATCAACATCACCAAGCAAATTAAAGAAAAATCATACTGCACATGTTAGTTAACCCATGCACACACAGCTCTGGATTCAGCAGAAATGGTAGCAGAGTAGAAAGAGGAGACTGCACGGAGAATGAGGTGGAACATCATTGGCCTGCAGGCTAATCTAATCAACAAGAATTTCAATGCCAGTCTTCCTCTCAAAAATTAATACAGAAATTCTGCTTTTATTTTTGGACTATTAGGAAGAGAAGTTGCCATTGGACAGAATAGCAATGTTTTTCCCCCCTCAACTTATTTTCCACACTGGCGGGAGATGATGGCTCTTATCTGCGCATGGGCACCATCGGATGCTGTCAAGGACTTTCCTCCAAAATAAATTTAACAAATGCAATTTAAATAAAAAATGATCCAAATGCCACTTGGTCTTCACACAAGAACACTGAGATCATGAGATTTGTCATTTAAAAATGTGTGTGGGTTTATGTTCATTTCAGTAGGCATCTGTTACGGCTGTGGCACCTGTGAGTACTGCCAACCCAGCTTTATCAGGCTGAAAAATTTATGATTGGATAATATAATTGGTTTGCGTTTCTCTTCAAACACCTGCACTAGCTCGCTATAAATCATATGTCTAGGGGGGAAAACTAGAAATAAAAGTAATGGGAGAATGGGGCTTTTTAACCTGAAATCCTTCGCGCACTCCAGCACAAATGTTAGTTCCTCCGCCAGCTGTGGTAGGCAAATATTTCACAAGATCTTCCCGTACTTTGTCACTGACAATCTGTTTCAAAATAGTCTTAACTGTTGCACGGGATTCAAATGTTACAATTCCAACCCAGGAACTAGTTTCAATAATCTGTCGAAGGAACAATTCTGCAGCTCGCTTCAGACGACCAATGCGATCATACTGCATATAAAGAAGAAGGGAAGAATGACAAAGTTGTCAGTTGGCAATTCTGCCTGCATAGCCATTTCAGATGCCTTTGTTTTGGCCAAAGGCAATGATAAAATTAATTTAGTAGATTATCTATTAAACATTTATATTTTAGTCACTCACGCAGTATAGATTTGGTAATAAGATGCATGCAAATACTCATTATTTTACTGTTATTTTCAACTAAGATGCAGGTATATGGTCTTCCCCAGTTTAGCATCTGAGAAAGATGGTTGTTGTCCAACACATTTTGAGGGTGAAAAATTATTGCAGACATTGACAAATCTTTTAATTGGTCTTTGCAGGATATTATATTGCAGATTTTAGCATGTTATTGATTTTTATTAGACAGTGAAATTTTGATTTAGCACACCTCCATAAAATGGACTTCTAGTTCAACAGTCTTAAATTTCTGCAGCAATTTACATCATTTGCATTTGCAGTAACCAAATGATGTAGATTTCACTATATCTCATATATTAGTCAGTATTAACTTAGGCACAGCCTTTTTTGTGCTGGTGGGGGATTTTGCATTTGGAGACAGTCTTTGCAAAATGGCCATTGGGGGAGCTTGCCTACTCTTCGTTGGGCTGTGCTTATAGCATCAGTTGGCCTTAATCCGGCCCTGATCTCGAAGTTCCAACAGCTTGTTCAGGATCTGTAACTAAACATTTATGCCATTTGGGACTGGTTAAGTTCTTAGTCTTAAGCCTAGTCCCTTTACTTTTTTCCTCAAGGCTCTTTTACACATTCTTGCCTTTTTTCTTACGTGATTTCTTACCCTGTATCCTTTCTTCCCCTACTGTTCCTGGGCTTCCCTCCTCTTAAAAACTAACTACACGTCATATCACAAATGTATAACTAGATCTCTTGGCATATTTTTTTCTAAACAAAATAAAGCAATTGGGAGAAGCAACTGACTATAACATTGACAGGAAGGTATGTTTAAACTCTCTCTTCACACTGGGATATCCTGTAATTTACTTTTTTACTCCTAGGCCACATCCACACAGTCTCCTTGCTCTGTCACAAGCACACCCACTAACTGTTTGCAGAGTACATGTCCTTAGGCCTCCACCTGATTTCAAGGTCAATCTGTAGCTGGGGCAGCCCAAAGAGGCCTTCTAGTGCTTCACTGCAGAAGTTGTGTTTTCTCTCTTATCCCAGCTCAACATCTCCCATTCAGACAATTCATGGTATGGGGAGGAGAGGTTGGAGATGGCATAGTTGGGGGTGGTGATCTGCTTGGCCCCACTTGATCCATCAGGTTTGTTTGAAACTTGCCCCCCTTCTGTCCAGTTCCTGGGCTCTGTGCCTGTTCTGCAGTGCTGATTTGGCTGTGAGAGAGACTAGAACCCTGCCTTCTGTGACTCTGTGTTTTTTTCTGTTTTAAAATGAATTGGTCAAATGGTGGATTGGCTGGACTAAAAAGTATGAAACTCTGAAACTGAGTATACCTTTCCTGGCTTAAAGTACGTAATTGGAGGTACTACTGAAAGGACTTGTCTTTTAAATTCCTCTGGCCTATGTGACAGAGAATTCCCTTTCCAGTTACTGTTGTTCCCAGGGAAGTCTGGCTCCTCACTTCCTTTCCTCAAGTAATGTTCTTAAGGTAGTTTCCAGCTCCCACACTGATTCCCCACAGCTAAACTTCTTTCTCAAACTCCAACTTTCAAAAAACTTTATCCAACAGGTGCACCTCAGCAGCACAAATCCAAAGGACCACCAGATGGTAGCCAAAAGATATAAAAACTTAACTTTTTGCTGCCTTGGTGATCAAGTGGTCAAACTGTTGATGGTTGACCCAGAGTTACCTGTATTTTTTTTAAAGTATAGTTGATCAGTGGTACAATAAGAAAGAAAACAAGAAAAAGAAAATGCAGTGATGGAGTAACCAGAGAGTTGCATGTGCCAATTACAGGAGATTTTTCAAGCAGTGGATGATGTTGGGCAACACTTGAACTTTCACTCAGGAAATAACCAATCACAGTTCTTAAAATGTTGCAAAGTTCCAGGCTAAAGCTGTATGGACAGCAGCACACCACAAACCCTTTCCAACTGGACAGTAAGCATGTGCTGTGGGGCTTTTAGAGCAGCAAGTTCCTGCCAGCTTCAGGACTGGGAGGGGGGGGGGATGACAAACCAGCTGTGTGGATGCAGCCCTAGACATCTTCCCAGTTTTCAAATTACCTTACAAAACCCTGATTCTAAGGCCTGTATAAGATTTTGATCCAACTTCTTGGATAACTTTCCCTTTTTCATAAAAGCTGAGCAACTATAATTTACTATAATTTCATAAATATCCATGCTAATGTTTACAAAATGAAGTGCATATTATGTTGGAAGTGGTTAAATATTAGTAATTAATTAACAGCTAACCCAGCATTCCTACCAAAAAAAATAATAATAATAACCACTTTGAAGTTTTCTGTTAAAAGAATCTTCTAACACTATACTTACCGTGCTCATACTTCCAGAAACATCAAGCACTAAGCATACAACTCTGTCATGTGCTTGCATCAAGGTGATAGTGGGGTCAGGCAGAGGAGTATTTATTATAGAAGAATTGGCAAAGTCAGTGGAATTCATAATAACTTCCCATGTACTCTTATAGTTGCAGAATTTATTTTGCATATTTGTTGCTTCGATATTATGATTACTTTTATTACAGAACATAGTAACCTAAACAAATAAAAGTAAGAATAACTGATTAGCAGTACAAACATTGGATCAAATTAAATACCAAATAATTGACACCAGTTATACTTACAGAAGACAGACTTTGCATATACATTATAGACTCTGGAACGCTTTGGGATTTATCTGGTATAAACTGACATCCAGGTTCATATATCTGAGTGTTATGAAGAAATTTGCACTTTCTGTGTTGTCTTGGTCCAGTTGGAAATATGTATATACCAGTGACATTAGCTGAACATCTAAATGATATAATAAAAAATATAGTTTACAAATCAAAAGTTATGAAATTAATATAAAAAAAGAAGTTTTGCTTCAACTTGAGCTTGACTTCTGGTGACATTTTGGGTATAATCATTGCATTTTCTTTGCAACAATACTAAAGTGCTTTGCTGTTGCCTTGTTCCAGGATGTTTTTCAAATCCCAGCTTAACCTATAGCTCTGGTTGTTCTTTGTCTCCCATCCAAGTCAGGAGAAGATGTTTTTATTAAGTGGGGAATATCTGCAGCCTTGCACTTTGAAGAAGCAGGATAGGAAGAGTATTGACGCCTTTGAATTTTGGTATTACAGAGACTTCTGGGGAAGAAAAGGACTGAAGATAGCTCCGCAAAAAGTGGAGCTGACAACCATGGCAGAATAAAGAGCCAGCAAGTAAACCAGCTCTTCGTAATTCCTGTCCAGACAAGGAGAGGACTTGAGATTGCTAACAAGTGCTTCAGACAGCTGCTCCTCATGAGGAGACCACAAGACAGCAGTCTCTAGTGGGTTTAGAACTCTGGAATATGAGAGAATCTTGCTCAAACCGTGGTCGACGCCTTTGAAAGGACACTAAGTTCGCATACTTCCTTTTATAATTACTTTTGGAAATTGCTTGTTAATTGCTTTTCAGCTATTAGGAATCTTTGGATCAACAAGTTTGACAGCACTGGGTGAGTTTCCTTCAATCCTTAGTGAAAGAAGTTGTAACCACAAGTTTAAGAATTAAAAAAAATTTTTTTTTGGAATAAACAGCAAAAGAGTGATTAAAATTTTGGTTTTAGAAAGTTACAAATGGATTAAGGGTCCAGATAAATTTGAAATAAGGTTTTGGAATTAATTATAAATAATCCTTCTGGTGGGAAAATGCTTTTCTTTTGATTTTTTTTTTTAAACTAATGATAAGGTTTTAAAAATTGAACACTAGAGGGAATGAAAGATTATAATTAAAGGAGAAGAATCTTTAAACTCGACTTCCACTTACACAATAAAGCAAAATATTTTAACATTGGATATACTGAAGGATATTTTTGAGCAATGGACCCAGAAGTTAATTTTAAGAGTGTCTGCCTCTATAGACAGACTGTGTTTAAAAGATGTTATGGAAGAGGAACAAGTTCTACCTGACAAGATCAAGACTGAAATGAAAGTGGATTTTAAAATGACAGGCTGAATGACACTGGACATAAAAAAGAAACCAGATGATATCTTAATAATTAAAAGGGATATACAAATAACAAACCAGGAGAGTGACCTGGATAAATTTCCTATATTGGATTTACAAAAGAGACTTGTTAAAGAATTCTGTGAGAATGGACAAAGAAAAAGTGAACAGAAATCAAGTTCTACGATATTATTCGAAGGGAATAAAGATCAAGATTGTTAAAAGTAAAATGAAGGAATATAAAATTGGTTTATTTGATCAAGGTTAAAATAGATATGTTGTTATCTCTGGCAACGCTTAATGGACTTTTGCCGACCAGGACTGAATGACAAGGCTTTAAGGATTTGTTTATACATAAGAGATGGGATTTGGGAAGAGATCATTTGTTGTATTTTAAGAGAAGGTGATAAGTTACTAAAATTGTTTATACTTGTGATGAAGGGGAAGTCATTTCTTTACATAGTTCTTTTCTTTTTCTTTACTATATTCTTATTTTTTCTTTCTTTTCTATTTTTCTTTCTTTTTTCATTGAGAAGGTGATAAGTTACTAAAATTGTTTATACTTGTGATGAAGGGGAAGTCATTTCTTTACATAGTTCTTTTCTTTTTCTTTACTATATTCTTATTTTTTCTTTCTTTTCTATTTTTCTTTCTTTTTTCATTGGTGATAAGTTACTAAAATTGTTTATACTTGTGATGAAGGGGAAGTCATTTCTTTACATAGTTCTTTTCTTTTTCTTTACTATATTCTTATTTTTTCTTTCTTTTCTATTTTTCTTTCTTTTTTCATTGGTGATAAGTTACTAAAATTGTTTATACTTGTGATGAAGGGGAAGTCATTTCTTTACATAGTTCTTTTCTTTTTCTTTACTATATTCTTATTTTTTCTTTCTTTTCTATTTTTCTTTCTTTTTTCATTTTTGCACTTTTTATTTTTTTCTTTTTATTATTATTATTATCATTTTTTTTAGTTGGTAAACAGTTTTTACTGTTATAATTGCAATCTTTAATAAAAAATTCCAATAATGAACTTTGGTGTTGGAGAAGACTCCTGAGAACACCATGGACAGCCAAGAAAAT